GTACCATAAATATTATACATATATACATAAAGTGCATATAATTTTATAATATATGCAAATTCGCGAGATTTGTGACGTGTACATTAAAATGCGTTAAAAAATTCTTAAGTATAACTTGATATTTATATGTACTGTACGCATTGCAGTCACTTCAACATTGTGCGCTTCTCTTTTTTTTTTTTGCGTACAAAAAAAAACAAAAAAATGGTTACTCGATGCACTAGGTACATACTGTTTTATACTAGGTAAATACAGTGTCAACAATATGGTTTTCTTAAAAAAAAAAATGAACCGAACACAAAAAAAAATTTGTAACGTTTTAAGGGTTACTCTTTGGCACTCCACCCTAAAAATCTAAAACCAGGGGAATAAACTACCTGCATGCAAAAATGGTTTGCAGAGGCGGGGCAAACCCGTATGTACGTACATAAATTATATATATTTGTTCATATATAACATAATCTAGAAGCACACAACAGGGAGAGCGCTTAAACAAAATAATAATAAAAACAAAAGATATTACTTGAGTGGGTGTTATTTTAACTTAACAAGTACGCATCAAAATATACTTTATCTATAGTACCGTCAAAAAAAAAAAACAAGCCCCAAATATTTACCGCCACTGCACCGCCGAATCCTGGTGGCAACAACTGATGCACAAGTATATCATTTATACATGTAGAAATTTTATTAATATATTTTAACGTCCACCCCCTAAGAAGAAGAAAAAAAAACAAAAAAACAAAAACCAACGGTGTGGGACTCACAAAAAAGTGATATAGAAAATGGAATAAGCGCGGTTATAAAAATGTACTTTTTAATATTCGTTTTTCACGCAAAAGAAATAATGCAAACTCCGAAATTTCTCATTTTTGTAACTGTGTAAAACTACAAGATCTGGTTCTTCTAAAAAAATGTTCTTGCTTCTTCACTCCCACGGAAATTGAAACCGCAGTGTGTGCCAAGTTGCACTGATAGAAATTTGCGAAAACGGGGTACCCTTACCTCCTTAAACAACAACTTTATTATCAAACATTTTTTTTTTTTTCTCTCTCTCTTTTGGCTAATTAGATGAACACATGGGTTAACATATTTCACGCAGAGTGTGAAAGCGTTATAACCACACATCAAGGTGGGGAGCGCGGGTGTAATCGCTGGCTCGATCAGCGTCGCACAGTTGCACAACTGTGTAGCGGCTTAACCTCATTACAATTTCACCTTCGAATAACTTAGCCTTCTAATTATAATTAGCAATTGCACACACAGAAAAGAATTAAAAATGAGTCAACACTAAGGTGAACACAGGTCAGCGTAGGACGTTTATTTCCTTGCGACACCTACCGCGATGGTCATTTAACAGAACAGGCGTCATTCTTGTTTTTTTTTTTTTTTTGTTCCTTTTCCATAGAATGGATAAAATTAAGCAAATTTTGTGTTTTCTTCTTTTTAATTATTACATATTTTTATGTATATAGTCACACGTGGTCACTTCCACAACTGCACACATTTACTGCTCCCAAAGGAGGAATCCCGGGACCTAGTCGAATAAGGGGGGCTACAACCAATTGCCCAGAGGAGCAACCATCATACCCTTCCCCCAATGGTCACATAATCCCATGTACGTCAACCCCTCGTGTGTATGTGAGAACAGACCGACTTGATGCTGGCTACGCCAAAATAGCGCCTTATAATTCGCAAAAGCAAATGAAAACAATTTGTGCCTCTGCGTCTTATCTTTCACCACCTTATCATTTAACACGCCCTTGTTAAAATGCTCATTTGTACATTTCCTGTGGCAGTACGACCAAGTGTTTTCAATCGTGTGTAAGTTGTGATGAGAGGAGCCGCTAAATATTCCAATAGTGAAGAAGCGAAATACGGTTAAATGATACCCAAGTAACGATTGACACATCACCCATATTAACACTTCCTGTAATAGGGGTTTACGAAACGATCAATTTTGTTATCTTATATTTTTTTTTTTTTTTGTAACTGATCGATCACGTGAAGGGCAATTTAGTTAAGGCTCCTTTTCCGTTGAATGTCAATGGCGATCCCTTTTTATTGTCCTCCACCTTTCCTGCGTCGCACATGATGGTGTATTTCTTCCCAAATGGTTTACTACCTCTTTTGCCTTTACATCAAGCTGATTATAGGTAATAAAAGCATCCTTAATTGGACAGTACACTACACCTTCGCTGGGTTGCTACCTCAAATCGCTTACCATAAGGTTGAATTATTTTCATGCTTAGCCTCATAACTAATTTTTACTCCCCCCCCACATTTCCCTACATGCTTAAATGGATATCACACTACTTTACCAAAAAAAGAAAAAATAAAATAAAGTAAATGTTCTGATAACTTCCCCTGCAAGAGGTGGGAAGCACACACACACATATGTCTCCACGTACATGTGCGTTTACCTTATGCACCAGCTCATTCGTACACTTCCCTACACGCAAATTTCTAATGCCCCTCTCGGGGAAGGCAACTCTTCCTTTTAAGCAACACATATGTATGTTCCCTTTCGCTTCCCTCGTGTGGCAATACTACTACTACTACCTACACTGAAGCTAATTTTGTGCTCCTGCCCAAAGACAAATCTCCGCAACTGTATGATGCACTTTTACATTTTCCCTTCTTATGTGCGTGCATGCATGCATCGGTAGGGCTAGCCAAAGTTAGGCAACAAAAAGGGGACTCCACTAGGAATTGCCATTTTTTTTTTTTTTTTTTTTGCTGCTAATATAGCGGCTTCCTTTCGAACAACCTCCGTAGTTTACCCCACATAACACCTTGTACCTGTTCCGCATTCTTTCTATATAAAATTTCGTGAATGTATTTTTTTATTTTTCATTTCGATTAAGCGCAATATTTCCTCAACAAGTGAATTGCACACCCCTGGGTGAATTGACAAAGCGGGGCATCATCGTGGTAAAAGAAAAAGCATTGAATCGTACCAAAAAGGCAAAAAAATAAATAATTGAATAAAATTCTATTCATAGTAGTAACCATGAATGAACCCCACTGGGCTGTACATGGTAAGCATTAGGGGGAAAGTCCCCATAGCAAGCTACAACCACATAAGGGTACCAGCCTTCTTATTGTGCGATCGACGCGTAAACAAACAAAGTACACCCACTAAGTGAATTTATTTACAATGAGCTTCTAACATTGGAGGAGAAGTAGTGTGAGTTCTTTTTTCTTTTTTTTTTTATACCATTAAAAACTATTTCCCTTGTTGGTATAAAGAAAAATGGGACGCGCAACGCCCACATAAGTGAGGACACACACACACACGTGTGCATGCCTCCCCGCCAGTGTGCGCGCTCGTTATCATCAACGAGAAGAAGGGGAGACATGGCAATCATTAAGGTACAAAAAAAAAAAAAAAAAAAAAAAACAGGAAAAAAGGAAATCAAATCAAACTGGCGGCTTCAGAAAAACACATACATATGTAGATATATATGTGAGCGGAAAACGTAAGGAGGAATATATGTGCATGTCCCCTCTCAATCCTGCACGTCGCGCGTCGGCATGCTTAACAGCTCAATCTACTACAAAATGCAGGAACGGTCTGGTGAAAAGTGAATTTTGCATACTCACCGGGGAATATTCACTCTGGGGATTTACCCACCCCTATATCTTTTTTCATTTTACATTTGTAAGCATATATAAATAAATGCACATAAATACATATAAATATATATAAATACATATAAATGCATATAAATATATATAAATGCATATAAATATATATAAATATATATAAATATATATAAATGCATATAAATATATATATAAATATATATAAATATAAATATTCGCGTGTACTCGTTTCTGAAACATAACGCGGGAGACAACCCCTGAAGAGATAAACACAGTGATCCCTCTACTTAACACGTGGGCCAATTCCACCCGCCCCTGTACACGCAAGCAACCCTAGAGGGGCTTCATGTTGACATATCGCCACGTACTTTAAGCACTTTATACATCAAGTACAACGTAGACACGAGCGGCAAAAAGGCTACACCCAAACTAACCACAGCGGTAAAGGCTTGGGCCTTAAGATGGTAAGCAGCTAAGGCCACAAAGGCACCCAACACAGGAGTAGAAAAAATCTTGCAAAAGGAAAAGAATTTCTTCAATTTTTTGAAAAAATTTAAACCAGATTTAATAGGCTCATCCTTCTCATTATCGATATATTTTAACGTGGTTACAATTTCTTTTTCCAACATTAAGTCTATTTTTTTTATAAACGCCATTATTTTTGATGCGATGGTTCGTGTCAATCGTTCGAAAACATTTTCTATCTTATCCAATGTGTTTTGCTGCACCTTGTCATATGTTGTGTTTATATTTTTTAAACATTCGGCTAGAATTCTGTTGCCTCCTTGTTCGCGGGGGTACCAGCTCCTTGATGCTGTGCTTCCGGGGGTGCCATGGGTATGTACTTGGGTTTCGTGCGCACTCATCTGGATGAAGGGACACATGGAGGAGGAAGAAAAAAAAAAACGTTCATTTGTAAATACGCTTAAACAAAAGGAAAAGCATACATGTGTGTGTACATCATTCTATGCAATATCCCAATGGCACACACTTGTTTTTTTTTTTTTTTTTTTTTTTCCCCTCTTCTTAAACTTACACTGGGCGAATGGAACTGCAACAGCATGATGAAACTCACAAAAAAGAAAGCCTTCAAAAAAAATAGGGGAATGCTAAATTTATCACACTTATAAACCCTTTTTGAAGCATCCACTTTGGCTGACTTACAAAAGTCAGCTCCCCTTTCATCAAAACATTTGTAGCCCTCATAATAAGACGCAGCTGCGGAACCATTAGAATCCCTTTTAGATTTTGTCTCCATCATTTGTTCAAACTTGTAAATAAAAAAAAAGGTGGAATCATAAAACTTAAAAAAAAAAAAAAGGTGGAATCATAAAACTTAAAAAAAAAAAAAAGGTGGAATCATAAATCTTAAAAAAAAAAAAAAAAACTAGAATCATATAACTGGCCAAATAAAAAGGGATACACTATACGTGTACTAAAAATAACGTTATATATACATTAAAACTAAAAAACGGAAAACATGAAGATTCTTAATAAAATATACTTAATAATTCATTGAGTTATGTTTTTTCACAAATCTTTCTACATCAGCACAACAAATAAGAGAGAAAAAAAAACAAAAGGGAATAGTGGAACATGTTAATATATATAATGCTATTCCTTAGTAGGCCTTAAAAAAAAAAACAAAAAAAAGCCTGTACCGCTTTCCAACATTCTAAAAAAACTAATAAAACAAAACATGCGATGATATATCTACTGGAGCTTGCTTCTACTTCTCTGTTTTTCTTACATCTTCCCCTTCTGTTTTATTCTTTAACTTTTGAGACTGCTTTTTAAAGTATACGTAAATTTTGCCAGTAATATTTTTTATTTAGCATAAGAACTTATCTTAGTTAACCTCACTAAAAATACTAAGCACCAGTGTGGTATTGTATTCATTCACACGTGGCTTACCTTTGTTTTTTTTTTTTTTTTTTTTTTTTTTTTTTTTTTTTTTTTTTTTTTTTGTTTTTATTTTATGGTAATATAGCCGCGGTAAGTTAGTGCGCCAGCAGCAGTGGGTACAATGAGGCGTGGCCGTAATTGTCGCAGTAGTGGTAATATAGAAAAAAAAAATAATAATAGTGGGGGGGATATAAAAATCATGCTAAAAAAATGAGATGATTTAAAAATAAAGAAAAAATAAACCCTCAAACCTTTTTACGAAAATTTAGTTTTTTTTAAAAAAAATTATTTTACTGCATGAAACAAAAAAAGGGCAGAATATATTTTTTTTTTTTTGCTTCCTTTATACCTAACTAATATACAAGTTTTAACAATTTGCACAAAAAGAGAAAACGCATTATACAGGTAGTTATATTCTTTGCATTTCCTTTTCTATACCCTTGTGTCGCGTCTACGAAGCAAAAAAATGAGTTGTAAAAAAATTATGGTCACAAAAAAGTGTGGAAGGAAATAGTTCTAAGGGCAAAAAAAGAAATGTAAAGATTGTGATCAGCGAAACGCTCACGTAGCAGTTAAAATAACAAATTATGAAAAAAAGCAGTACACAACGCGCATTACGCGTTTGCCAGTGTTCCCCATCCGTGTATGCATACTTGTATAAAAAAAAAAAAAAAAAAAAAAAAGTTTCCCGCTGTTGTTTCAACATTTCACCCACCGCTCATTCTAAATGGGAGAAAAAGCCAAATGTTCTAAATTAGGGATTTGTTCTGCACACGTTTCCCTCACCCCTTTAAATATTATCATCTCCTGTCTGATTCCCCCTCCCAAGAAAGAAACCAACATAAATATCCTCCACTTTTGTGTAGTGCAAAATGAACTTAACGTGTGGTAGATTACAAAGAAAGAACACGCACACCTCCACATGCTGCCACGAATAATTTTCTTTACTGTGTATACTTCTGTAACGCACACTTGTACATTTAATGTCCCCGCACCCTGAACATACCCACGGATAGTCCGTTTCAAACCTGCTACAGTTCCTACTTTTACCCTATCCTGTGTTATACTCCACATGGGCATATTATTTATCGCATTTTTGCGAAACCAAAGGAAAACCAAATATAATCGTAAAAAGAAAAAATAACCTCTCATCATATAAGTACTATTATAAAAATGTGCGTGACATGTTATACGAAGCTACAATGAATAGCTTTTTATAAAAAAAAAAAATACAAATTATTTACAAAAAGATGGAGGATCAACCATGTGCACGAGATTCTTTCATACTCCTTGTCCCATGATGTAAAACGCCCATGTTTTAAACGTAAATCTTGTTAGGTGTGACTTCCCATGTGTGTGCCGAAATTCAATTTAAATGTCTTTTTTTTTTTCTTTTTTGGAACTATTTTATCAAGGGTAGAAGTACATATATTGTAGGTCCATGGGGGATGAGTTCTTCTTCCCGTTTGGTGCTTCACTTCCCTTAGCACATCCACATAAACGTAATAGTCTACGCCCTGCTCCATGTTATTTAAAAATTACAGCCATACTTATATACCCAGGCAACAATACAGTAGAACAGTTATGTAAACAAAAATGAACAAATAAATATATTATACATTTATGGTAACTATTTTTACCTTATCCTACTGTACGCGTAACAACCCCATGTAGGGTGTACCCATAGCTGCATTTATACAAATAGCAAAAAAAAAAAAAAAAAATGACTACCTTCGAATTCGCTGTTGACGTCGTTCCCCTGCGACTGTAGGGTTGTGTGTGACAGAGAAAACATGGGTTATCTCAATAATATCATCTTACCAAATATTATGACGTTATGATGCTAGGATGCAACGGCGGGGTAGTTGGGCAACGGTTTCGTGACAAGGCGCATTTTTGTTCTGTCCCCAGGGGTACCCCATTCATCATAAATAGTAACACTGTATTTGCGAAAACAGAAATATAAAATGAGGAAACAATATTTACCATTTCCCCTATTGCTGTTATTTGCACGCCCACGTTTTTCTGTATTGTTGTGTTTATTTTATTTTATTATTTTTTTTTTTTTTTTGCAACCCTAAGGCACCAAATTAAGCGCCCTTAAACGGAGTTTTGCCGCGTGAGAGAAGGGCGCACGACTTAAATTTAGGGGTTTCGTGCAACAAAAAAACAAAACGCACTTTATATTTAGAACAAGGCTTAAATTTATATATGGTGCTGTCGACGTACATGTACAGGGATCTGCATTATTATTTGCCATTTCGCGAAATACACTTTTTTTGTTCTTTTCTTTTTTGTTGCAAATTGGTAATTTCATATGGCATGTTTTTAAAGAGCGTAAATTTTTAGGTTAAAAAAAAAAAAAAAAACAGCACAGCACAGCGCAACTATCGCTGGTGTTCACTTCCTCCAGGCTCAAAACTCCACTCCGGATCCGTCGCAGGAATGTATTCCGCTCTCATTAAATTGCTCTACCGACACTCCCCAACCAACAAGCGAGCGGTAACCTTAACCAAAAAATGAATCACAAGAACGCTAGGCTAGATAACGTGGTGCGCCCCAGGACCTTCACAGGATCGCTCCTATATTTGTCTCTACTGCTCCTCCTGGTATGACGATGAAGTAGCAAAAGCAGATTGCTCACATTCCCCCTTTTACGTGCGTGTACTGTCGGGTGGGGCCTCCACAAATTGACACATCTCCAAACATTATGTAACCATGTACACATGCATACACTCACAAATATATATTCCATTGTTCTTCCTGTAGGTTCACCCCTTCATCGTAGCACCTGCAAATCTGCTCCCAGCCGTGGAACCAAAACGTCATTATGAGGTCAGAATTATAGCTGAAACGAGCTCGTCAAATGATGCAACACAAATGGGAGATGTAAAACCACCATGTGGGGGGGGAAGTATAAAACATGGGGACAGCATGCAGGGCAGCAGTAAACACTTCGAACAAATGGAAGCAACAAACACACACCACCAGGTACATCCAAAGGGCCCAAAAAAAGACGTGCATGAAATCCCAAGAACTCCATTAGGGAACTACAACACGAGCAGTACAAACGTAAAGAGCCAAATGAAAACAAAAAATGAAAAAATAAATCAGTCACAAAAAAATAATCACCCCAACCATGAAAAACATATGCCTGAGCAAAGTATAAAACTAACAGAACGAGAACTCCATATTATGTTAAAAAATTTAACAGGAGTTGTCTCTAGGAAACACATGTTCATCCTCTGGTTTAACTTCCATAATCTCTACGTGCGAAAATATAATGACATGATAGATGAGATGCGCATGTATGCAGAATCTTTTGCATCCCGCCATAACATGTCGAAAGAAAATGTGCAAGCAATTTGGTCCAGAATCCATGGAAGGCTCATTTCTGAACTTAGGCAAAAAGATGTAAGTTGCATAAACGCCTTTTTCGATTTGCTCGACAAAGGAGAATGCACAGCTGATGTGTTCATAGCTTTCCTGGAAGAAACAAAGAAAGTGTGGACCGATACTATCGACAAGATGAGCTTTAAGTGGTAAAACCTTATGCGCATTGTGGTCAGGAATTACTCCAACACGTCTTCGACGGGGCAAGCGACACAAATGTATGCAAGAACCAGCAGCACTACCATTCTTCTACTAGTTCTCGTAAAGGATGCAGCGGGGGGGGATTAATCCGAGCGACAAAATGGAACATTACCCACGCTCACACACTTCCCCATGTGGTCCTATCCCCCCCCCTTCTGTCACCCCATTCTCCTAACTCGCATTGCGAACCGTGCGAACATGATTTGTCTTAGTCCAATACTGTCCCGTTGTTATCGTTGCGGCCATGGGTTTAACCTGCTCATGCGTGCATATAAATGCACAACAGTTGCATGCACACTGGGAAGTGATTCCCGCCACCCCCTGTAAGTTTGTTTTCCAATTTGTTACTCACGGAATGGTGTAAAAATGGATTTAAAAAAAGTGGCCACTCCGCACAACATGGGGTCGCAGCAGCTACATACCCTACTATGTTTCCCATACTTCACTGCTTACGCATTTGTTTACGTTTTTTTTTTTTTTTTTTTTTCGTGGAGAATGAGTTTGTTTTATATTACCCTGAACTTTCGTTTATACTTCTGCTCAACACTGAGAAGAGAAGGATAAGTTAGATGTCCTTCCCTTACCACTATACGTTTCACTAACCGTAATCCTTCAAGCAGACACAACGGTGTAGTGTTTTTTGTAAACGCCTACACAATATTGTGCGAATAAGGACGAGCGGGTACCTGATCGGCAACACTGCCACAGAGTTGCAGTCAGACAAAGTGCCCGAGGCACCTCTTAGAACTTAAGCCCCCCCAAAATTTTATCCGTTCACTTGCATAATCGTCACATGTCCTAGCTCAAGTATCATTTGCTTTTTACCCATAGCAGCGAAATCATATACGTAAAAAAAAAATCGGCACGGATCTCACTGTAGCTAGTTCATTGGATGCATGTCAACCGATAAGAGGACAAAAAAAAAAAAAAAAAAAAGTCTACTCCTGTAGGACAAAACAACTGTACTTTCTGCGTTTGCCCCCTTTTTTTTTAAAACCCCCCGAATTTGCAAAAAAGGAATTATTCACCAATTGAGCACACGCTTCTAAAATTGCACTCGCGGATGCATCATTTTTGTGATGCACCCAACGTTGAAGAAAAAGTAAAGTAGAAATAAATATCTCCCCCATATGTGAAGATTTCTTTTTTTCTTTGAACTTGCCACCCCAAATGGTTGGTCACCCCTGCGCGCAAACATTGCAAAGAAAAAAAAAAAAAAAAGAAAAATCATGCAAAGAGAAAAATGCTAAAATAAGTGCCGGTCAGTTTTATCTAAACTATACACTTCTAACCAAATGCGCGCCAAAAAGGGTTTAAGAAAAAATTTTTTTTTATATACATTTAGGCCATGATTTTATGTACCACAACTACGTATAGAAAAGAAAGATATAAATGGCACCATGCAAAAAGGGGGTTGCTTTTTTTGCCGAATGAAGAGGCCACTAACCTCCTCTTTCTTACATACAAAGGCTATTTTTTTTTTTTTTTGTCTTTTCTCAAAATTGATGAAAATAGCAGATTATATACCCCAGCCCCGTGGACAGATTTATTCTGGGTTGCTGCTCTCATTCGGCCGACATGTCCTAGCCGTCCTGCCCCATATTGGGCAGCATGCACCACGTGGTACCTAAATATAAAGAATTTTTCTTTAAAAAAAAAAAATGTTCACTCAAGGTTGACGCTAAATTACCACATATTACTACCCCTGGCACCATGGACATTGAACTTTTTCACTGTCCATGCAACAGCATGACGTTGAATACGCGTACAAAGTTGGCCGCCTTACATATATATAAAGGAATGTATTTCTTGTCTGTCCCCCTCTCAAGGGGTTTTTAAAAAATTAAAAAAAAGCGAACAATATGGTCCCTTAAAATAATGAATGGTTAACATAGAATATGCTTTTTTTTTTTTTTTTTTTTTTTTTACTCCCCTCTGGTGTTGTCAAATACCGCCGTAGGCACCTTTCAATTTTTGTCAACATTACTAAACAAGATGTCGTGACCTAGACCTCAAACCTTGGAAGAAATTTTTTCGTTACATACATTCTTTCGTTCGTAAGGGTTCCGAGAGCTACACCGCCCAACTGAACAGCCTTTATAACAATCACCTTGCCGCTTATATATCTGCATGATAAAAAAAAAAAAAAAGGAGCAACTCCACCCATAACATTAACACAAATTCACAATAGCGTAAACCTTTTATATAAATCAATTTGCTTCACCATGGGAAAAACAAGCACGAAATTCTTTGCAAATGGACTGTCTACCCCTCAAAAGGTTTCCATCTGTCATGTCATTATCATTCTCCTACTGGTAAGTTCAGCGCCTAGGTGTAGATGTAACATCTGAGTGTGGACGCATATGTGCACCAATGCGGACACAGCAGGATCCATTATTCCTTTTAACTTCCCCATGCACAACAATAGCATTTTTTGCAAACAGAGACCTGTACTTTTTCCTGCCCACTCTCGCAGCACCTATTCGAGATTATTCATCCCCATGCAAATGCAAATTCCTACTGCCAAATGAGTCGCTCGAATGGAGGGAGAATCTTGGCCAAGTCGATACTTGCACAACTGGAAGAAGTGGGAGATATGAGAGATGTGGGAAGAGAAGCAAAAATGGACCCCACTGAATATTCCACACACGCACCTGCTCAAGCGCATCAGATGGCGTGGGAGATGAAGCACATGACTCCTTCGCAGCATATGGACAGCACGAACAGCCATATTCCCACCAAACACAAAACAATAAACCAGGGGCACATGCACATCTCCACCTCGGACGAGGCCTTTTTACATTTGAGACGAAAAATTAACAGCTATATAAACAAACACAATTCACAGCAAACGAACTACAATAAGGGAAACATCAAAACAGACGAAAACATTAAAAAAAACGTAAAGCTGTTCGAACGAAAACTAAAAAAACAAATGAACACCCTAAACTTCTATGTAAGCAAAAAGGACATGTACATATTATGGGGAAATGCTTACGACAGGAGGAGACATATTTACATACACATGATAAACAAATTGTGGGATAAATGCGTTCAAATAACCGAGAAGAATCAAATCCCCAAAAATTTTTTATTTAAAATTTGGTGGAAGGCTTACTCCGATTTGGTGCAGGAGCTGCAAAATTATGACTCCCTAAATTTGAATAGTTTTTACCAACTATATTACAAAGACCGCTGCCCCAGATATACCTACGTGGAATTCATCATGGAAAATAAAAAATCCTGGAAGACATTCACAAAAAGCATGAAAAACAAGTGGACAAACAATTTGCTACACGAGTTATACGGCTACTACAAGTAGTTCCACAGAAAAGGCCCCCATTCGTGCTCTACACCCAAGTGGAAATCTTCACTCTTCGGTAATGCGAGCAGCGAATGTGGTCGTGGTAAAGAGTAAAAAGCAGATAACTGACCCCAAAAAGAAAAATAATTTCTTTTTTCCCCAAAATGGAAAGCTGTAGGCAAATGTAAATTTATTTTTTCTAACTTCATCTTTTTTTTTTTAAATTGCAATGCGTATAATGTCACGATGTGTGATTAACCTCCCCCCCTTTGTCTGTGCCCCCCGAAAATACATGCCTTATCAGTAGTAGACATGGGGGAAAAAAAAAAGAAAACAAAAAAAAATTTTCCCTGTATAAATAAAAAAAGATAAATCCAAGTAAATTAACCTTTATCATTTTTTTTTTCTTTTTTTTTTTTGTTATCTTTTGCAAAGAGAGAAATACTTACAAATCAAATCACCTCTCTAAAATGTGAGCAGCTCAATCTGCTGCTTCAAAAATGCTGTATGAATTATCCCCATACAGAGAAAAACCTTCAGTGGAACAAAAAAAAAGCTCTCTCAATTATTTATATTTTTTTTTTTTTAATGAACATATAAACAATCGATGGGTTAAGTAAAGCCTTCCCCAATTTGTATTTCATGCACAGTTTTTGGGAAGCACATTTTCCCTCGTAAGTGGAGACACACTCTTTTTAAATAATTTGCATTCCCTGGAGAAAATGACGCAACGAGAAAAAAAAAAAAAAAAAAAAAAAAAAAAAGGCGAAACGTAAGCAAACAATCACCAGCGAGACGAAACAATTTAGCAAGGAACCATCCCATAGAGGGCACAGAATTTTGAAGTGCAAAACTTTTGTGCAAGCGGCAATGCCCGAAACGATAAGTTCCACTTAAAGGGTTGGAAAAAAATTTGCTTCAGCTAACTCGAATGAGTCACTTCAGTGTTGCTGCGTTGGGTTTATATTCTCCATTTATATGTATATGCATTTTATTTTTTGGGGTCACAACTACAATAACACCCAAGGCCCTCACCCCGCTAGCTTAACACACAAGTGAAGGTTACAAACATGAGCATGCTCGAGCGCTATGAATGTGCATACTTCTGGTGAATGGAGTGCACGATAGAGAGCATACACCCATACTCGTATGCTGACCTTCACTTTGAGACGTCAACCTAGGGGTGAGCAATTTTTTCTCCTTTCCTTTGCGAGAGGCTTCATTGGTGTGTCCTTGCTGTGTGCCTGCTTCGTGTGTCGCTTCTCTCGTATGCTTCTTTATAACTATTTTTTGCGACCATTTTGCCGCCACCAATTTTTCGCCACCACTTTGCGTTGCTGCTTGGCTCACCCTCTCACCTTAACCACTCTGGCTTTCCAATTTCGTGGCGCCACTTTGCCTTCTTTCCGAACGGAGGAGATTTACACACGCAAATGCGAATGTGCCCCTTTTTTTTTCCCCCCCCCACACCCCTTTGAAAATTTTCATCCTGATAAAAAAAAACGATAAGGGGAAACTCCCTTATGAGTTTTTTTCTTTTTTCTCCATTTTTGCGTGAATTTTTTTTTTTTTTTTTTTTGCCGAGCGTTGTTGATACCTCTCCTCCTCAAGCAGCTCAAACACACACACACAACGTGTTCTCTTTACACTCCTCATAACAGCACAACAAAATGGGCTCCAAAGGAAACAACCTCTTCGATGACGATAGCAGTAGCGATGGAGGAAGGAAAAGAAAGAGGCTGAAAAAAGTGTCAAGCAGTTTGTTTGATAAAGATAACGATAATGATTTGTTTAACACAGAAGACACTAACACATCTCAACCCAGACGTGTTGTAGAAATTAAGGACGACGAGGATGAAGACCAGCAGGATTCCTACTACAACACAGGAAATACTTCCAACAGATCACTCCAAAATAAGTCGCCAAACAAACCCGCGTTCTATGACATAACGTCCTACTTCAAACGAAGTTCGAAAAAAATGGAAGATCAAACAGAGGCAGGCGAAGCGGGAAACAAACACCATGTAAAGGGCAATGCACGAGAAAACACAAATCTCTTCGACCTGGAAAGTAAAAAATTTAAAAATGATGATCCTCATAGTAGCACCGGGCTGAAGAGGCAAAGGGAAGATGACCTAACCAATATGTTAGACCAACACAAGTATAAAAAAAAACACACCTCTCCAGGAAAGGGACAAAATTTAGAAGAACTGGACTTTAACAATAGCACCGGAAGTATGACAAAAACGAAAAAACTCATCTCCATGTCTACCACAGGTGGAAATAATAACAAGGATGATGCAGCCAACAATTTCGGCTACCTCCCTTTTCATAACCTCAAATTTGTGTTAACAGGAGTTTTTAAAAATTTCTCACGAGACGAGTTACAATCTAAAATAAAAGAACATGGGGGAAGCGTTATGTCCGCTGTGTCGTCAAAAACGCATTATCTCATTCATGGTGAGTACCTGGAAGACGGCCGAATGTACAACGAGGGAAAGAAATACCAGAAAGCGTCAGAGCTGCAAAAAATGAGCAAGTCCATTATTAAAATTTTGAATGAAGAAGAGCTGCTGAAAATGCTTCCCCAGGAGAAGGAACAAACACCCAAGGGGGGAAAGGCGGATCAAGGAACAGACCACCAACACGAATTCGAAAAGAGGCATCAGAGCGACCTCGCCAAGATTGGAAGTGAAAGTGGAAACAGCTCAAGTGCCAGCTATAATCGTGTCGCACACAGCGAGAAGGAAAACACATCCAACTCCACGACACCTGCAGACCAAAACAAAATTCTAAATCAACTGTGGGTGGAAAAGTACAGACCAAAAAATATAAACGAACTTGTAGGGAACAACCAAAATGTCCTCAAATTAAAAAATTGGTTAGCTAGCTGGGATGATGTATGCATAAAGGGACTCAAAAAACAAGTAACAAAAACATTTAGAGGGGTGTTTGAAAATGTAAATGCCAGGTGTGCCCTTTTGAGTGGCCCCGCAGGAATTGGAAAAACGTCCACTGCTAAAATTGTGGCAGAAAGCTCCGGATATAATGTCATCGAATTTAATGCGTCTGATGAAAGAAATAAAGCGGCCGTAGAAAAAATCAGCGAAATGGCCACCGGGGGATATTCCATTGCTTCTATCAAAAGCAAAAAATTAACAAAAACATGTATCATTATGGACGAGGTGGATGGTATGTCTAGCGGAGACAAGGGAGGTAGTGCAGCCATCTTAAAGTTAATTGAAAAAACAAAATGCCCAATTATCTGCATATGCAATGATAGGCAAAATACTAAAATGAGAACATTAGCCAACAAATGCTACGATTTAAAATTCATGACTCCAAACAAAATTAGCGTCGTCAAGAGACTACTAGAAATATGCAAGAAGGAAGATATTGTGATGGAACCAAACGCTTTAGAACTTCTATATGAAAGCACAAATGGAGATTTGAGACAAATGCTAAATGCCCTCCAGTTACTCTCAAAGACCTACAAGCGAATACAATTCCTCGATATAAAAAAGGAGTTAAACAACTCTAATAAAAACATACAATCCTTAGCCAACCCATTTGAAATAACACTCAAACTCTTAAACTTCCATGAATCATCAAAATTAAAAATACGAGAAATCATGGACCTCTTCTTTGTGGACTATGAATTGATCCCATTCTTTATAAGTGAAAATTACACCAATGTATTTAATGACAATGATAAATCTGTCCACTCGGTAAATAAATGGAGTGTCTACTCCCAAATATCGTATGATTTAACTTTGGCAGAAAAAATTAAATACAACATGAAAACTACCATGGACTTTTCTCTCCTTCCACACTTCTCCATCCTCTCCTGTGTATGTCCCGTCATGCGAATCAAAATGTTAAAATCATTCATGTCTGGCAGAATTAACTTCCCTTCTGCCTTTGGAAAAATATCTACCTTCAACAAAAATAAAAGGCTACTAAACGAAGTATGCTTTAACATGTCCTACAAGTTAAATGTGTGTCCTAAACATATGGTTACCTCAGGATTCTTAAATTATATTTATGCACAGATCATGTCCCCACTACAATGCAATAACATACCCAAGGCCATACAACTCATGGAAGAATATAACGTCACAAAAGAAATGATCACGGAACATATCCCATGCTTGAGATTACCCACACAGGAAAACTTGTATGACAAATTGGATTCAAAAGTTAAGGCATCCTTCACTCGACTATACAACGCTTCACACGTGATCAAAAATGATCCTAACATGATGCGCAAGGGACTCAAGTCCACTGAAAAAAAAACTGCCTTCAAAATGAATGAATATGAATCCGATGAAGACATGGACGAGCTCAGTGAATCCAAAGAGGACAAGGACGATGATATACTGGTCAAGAGTAAGGTCGATAAGAAATCTGCCGCCAAAGGAAAAGCCACACCTCGCTCCAATGCAAAGAAACGCTAATAATCGCTCATGAACAACACACGAAAAGGATTACATGCGGTGTGAAGCGACATTGCAATGGTGTGAAGTAGGCACATGTATCTACCCTTATCGGCGCCCGTCCGCGCCGCGCACACGAAACTTTATATAAGTAACATTATTATATAATGTATTTATAAGCGCATAACGTACCCGAGTCATTATTTCCCCTCCCTCCAATGTCTGTAAATACAACCTCCAACACACGTATAGCGCAGCTGCTCTAACGCTGTTATCTTGCTCCACAAAAATGGGGAGAAGAATGCCCAGTTGTTAAATGACAAGGCACACTTCTATTCCTTTTTTTTTTTTTTTTTTTTTTTTTTTGGCTACATGTGTGTTCTTATGTATGTTTTTTTTTTTTTTTTTTTTTTTTTTTTTTTTTTGGCACAACTTTTTAAAATGGATGGTGTTCAAACTTGGCATACGCGGCCTGTGTGCATTTAAGCACGTGTGTAGATAGGCATGCACTTCAACCTGCCTGTGCCCACCCCTGGCGCGGAACTCACGTGGCCATTCCCCCAAACTGAGGCGCCCATTTTTGTACATCGGTTAACGGACCCTGCGGCGAAAAAGAGGCAGCAGTTTGGTTGCCCGATCCGGGGAACGAAACGTAACACTTGAAAGAACCCCAACTGAGTAGAGCTAACATTTTGGTGTGGTGGAAATGCAAGAAAAAAAAATATCAGCAGACGTGTGCACGCGCTGTTCCTTGTCCGATGTGCTCTCCTGCGCGGTGCTGGAAAAAATGCCAAACGCGCACACTCGTGTTCAATTAAAAGGGGACATGTTCAAATAAAAGGAAGCGTTCACGAGGCCGCCACCCCCAACGTCGTAACTTAAAGGCGTGGTGTACCAAGCAAATGAAATAACAAGTGGGCGATTTTTTTGCCATTTTTTTACGTGTTGTTTAGGGTTTTTTTTTTTTTTTTTTGTTCAGCGAGGCCCCCCTGCGTAATTTCTCTTTCAGCTTTAACAGGAGAGGGGACGACTACTCGCACAATAGGGCACCATGATTGCACCTTTAGCAAAATTTTCCCCTTTGTAAGAGCAAGCAGCACAACGAAGATGCTTATTCGGGAGAAAGAACCCTCCACGTAACACATATACCAGTCTCTTGTCCCCCGCAAAAAAGCCAAACTCCACACTGCCACGTTTTCCCCGCTTCCCCCAAAAGAAAAAGAAGAAAAAAAAAAAATAGATGAATATTTCCTGCCGTTCCCACGTTTGGCTCGGCAGATTCTTCGCGTCCATTCTAATCCTACCACTTCTACCGCTTCTACTCCCTCTTCCACTTCTACCACTCGTACCACTTGTACCGCTTTTTGGTCATGTGAACAGCTTCGATGTAACCCCAACTCGCAGCAGTGCCACGGTACCAAAGGTACCCATCGTAAGACTGAACAAGATCATTTCCATGGAGAACAAAATTTCGAGGAGAAAATCAGACCAATTTATCAAAGATGGCAATGTAAAACTGAATAACAAAATCGTTAAAAACCCAGGAACACATATAGATGTAACAAAAGACAAAATAAAAATACTTGGAAAAAAGATTAACATGCGCCAAACACAAAAAATTATTAATAGAAATGACAGCAACATGTACAAGTGGTTTGTTCTTCATAAGCCAAAGGGACTCCTATGTACATCCAATGACGAGAAGGATCGGGCTTCCATATATTCCCTCTTCCCACAGGACATAATGGACAACTACAGACTAGTTTCCGTAGGTATGCTTTTTTTGCCCAAACCAAAGCGTTGACGTTTTTTTTTTCCCCCCCCCTTTTCCTGCTCCTGTGCCATTGTACGTGAGATTTGCCCCCACTTTGCATCTACACCCACTCCTTCCAACCAATGCGCACATGGGCTCATTACCACGTGGGGTACAAATCCGCATTACGGAGTATAAAAATATCCTCCTTGTGGTGCTACCTTGTGGGATGGTACAGATGGAATGATCTGCTCGGGGGAAGGAAAAAAACAAAAATTGGTAACCCTTACTGGGTTAATGATATTTTTGAGCAAAAATGATCCCTAATTTATTTACTCCATGTGGTGTATGTGTGTGTATGTGTGCGTGTGCGCCTTCCCCCTACCTGCCACCCTTCAACGAGTCGCGCCTAGCTTGTCCCCCATTTCGTCTCTTCGTTTCCCCCCTTTTCTCGCAGGACGACTAGATCGAAACACCTCCGGTGTACTCCTCCTCACAAATGAATACGCTTGGGTCAACAAACTCACGCACCCAAAGTACCAAAGAATAAGAACATACAGAGTGCACATCGAAGGACCGGTACAAATGAAAGTCCTCAAAGAGCTAGCCGCAGGTGTATATCTAGCAGACGATGATAAAGGAACAAAAAAAAAAATAATGCAAAAAAAAAAAACACAACCAGCATTTATTGAAATATTAAGGCAAGAAACCATAAAAGTAAAAGATCAAGTCAAAAAGGTAAGCGTATTAAATATTAGCGTACGAGAGGGACGGAACAGGCAAATTAGAAAAATGTTTGAACAAATAAACCAGCCGGTCATTAAAATAAAACGAACTGCCTTCGAAAATATAACCCTCAAGGATATATTTTTCCCCAAACAATATCGCGAACTGACCCATCGGGAGATCTCCGATTTGAAGACACGCCGCTTCTAGGAAGTGGACGAGGCAAAAAAAAAAAGAACAATCCTATAAATTTGCGCATATACGAGAAAAAAAAGAAAAAAAGCGTGCGCAACTTGGGCAATTACAAGATAGAAAAGGCAACGAAAGGACACCCGTACATGCAACGAAAACGTTGTAGAAGCCCATTCATTTTTTTTTTTGACCATTCCTGCACTTTACACACACTCAAGTCCAACACAAATTGGTAAAAAGCCCTCTACGGTGCTACACCATCATGTCACCAAACACCCCAGCCAATTTTAAAACGCCCCCAAACAACATCATCAGTAGCAACGTATGTAGCGGCAAGGGACAATCAAATTAAAACAAAATTTTTTCACAAGTGGGAGCCGGAGAAGATTCACGGCATATTGGGGAGGGTAGATAAACGTTATATGGAATCGGTTAACAAAATGAAAAAAAAAATAATTACAAAGGGAGAGTGGGACGTACACAACTGTTTTTAAAAGATCATGCGCAGGTCGGAAAAAAAGAACAAAAAAATGAAAGGAAAAAAAAAAAAAAAAAAAAAA